TTATTTTTAATAAAATGCTGAAGTGGTAGGTAGATGCAAGATAAAGGTAGAAAACATAGTTTAGTGTTGTAAGAGAGCAAATGTAGATGGTCAGGTGTGTGCCTGTAGACTATGTGTTAATCCAAGCTAGACAAGGGCAATAAAACATCCATGGTTGCAGAAGATTTCTCTCAAAACAGGGTGGTGAGGTTCTAAGCTTCACCTCTGTTGATCCCCAATTTCTCACCTGATGGCCCCCCTGCGACTGTGCCTGTCTTAGGTTGTTCCTGCCTTGAGGAATCTTACCCGTCTCTGGCTAACCAGTCATCTTCTGGGGCCATACAGGGAAATGTAAAGTTGGTAAGTGAGAGAGAAGCCATATTGTCATAACTGACATTTTTGAAGACTACAGGTCGATTTTACAGAATGCAATTTGGGTTTGTCTTTTTTTTGAATTAGGTTCATGTTATGCATGTTTGAAAAGAATATATTATAAGCAGTTTTGTGTCTGGAAGTGATGTTTAAAGTCAGTATTTTTAAAAAAGAATATGGTGGCAGGTGAAGAATGGATGGGAGGTAGGGGTTGTGAAGGGAGATGAGAAGTGGAGAAACCAGTTAGGCATTCAGAATTGACAGACTTCAAGGAGTAACTGACAGGATGTAGAAGGGCCAGTGGGCAGCTAAGGTAACTTTGGATGATCTCCTAGTTATGTACCGCTGGTAATAAACCTCTTAAAATAGCAGTTTGTTATTATATGTTGCAGTTCACCTAGGGTCAACTGGGTGATTCTCATGTGCTGTCTTTCATGTGGTTATAGTCGGATCATGGTTGAGGCTTCAGTTATCTAAGGCTGTCTTAACTCAGCTGATACCCACGGTAGCTCCCGCATGTAGAAGCTGTAGATCCGGCTGCTGACCAGGAGCTCAGCTCGGACGGTCATTCAGAGGCCTTACGACATGACTGAGGCTTCTTCTGTCTTGGCAGCTGGATTCCTGGAGGGAGCACCCACAGCAAGCAATCCAAAAGCCTTACTGATTTTTGATACCTGGTTTTCATATTTTGATTTTTTCAAGACTCCTAATAGTTTGAAATAGACGTCCTCAGTTTTGTTAATGATCAGTCATTATATTTGCCATCTTGTTTGTTTGAATTTCTTACTTAAATTGGCTTCTCTTCCCCCTTCATACTCTTCACTTATGCACAAGGCCTCACTCATTGGATTTTCTTGTTACTTGGAAGTATAAAACTTTTCTCTAACATAGCCTTTCTCTCCTTTGTATTCACATATACACTCTTTTCCATAACTCTTGAGGGATGCTTTTGGCTAACTCCAGAACTTCTCATTTTTTTCCACTCTGGTCTCCCTTAAGACCAATGTTTTCACCTAATCTCTCATTAAAATATTCCTATTAGAAACAGACTTTTCTATACTTGACTTCACTGATTTAACAGAATATCATAACAATGGCCTTCGTCATGCTATTGTTAGTGGCCATGCCTCCTCAGCTTAGTTTTTACTGCTGTCTGCAATCAGCAGGCACATTATCTGCTGTCTGCATTGGATGTAAGTGTGTTATCTTCCTTTTGTCTTCCCTTACTTCCTCATTTTCCACAACTATCTCTGATACAGCCAAGTAAGCCTACTTAACTATTCCTCATGCTCATGTCCATCTCCTAATCCCATTTTCAAACTCATGTTAGGATTTATTTTTATGTAAATCATCATTATCCTAAAGTGAGCTAGGAGGTATCTGTATAAATAGATACAGTACTCTATCTAGTGTTATAACAAGAGATTATGTTAACTGTTAAGTGACACGCTTTCTGCGTACTGGAGATACAGAATAGAAAAAAAACTATCTCTACCTTTGAGAAGCTTTCAGTCTAGTATTAGGTTCTGGAACCCTATCTTTGGAAAGCATTTGTAAGGCTTTTAGAAAAAACTCATATATAATAGTTAAAAAATAAAGTCTATTATTACAATTACTACAATGATAGAAAAGGCCAATAAATACTGTGAAGCTGGGATAATTACTGTATTTGAAAATAAAATTTAATTCGGACTCATCTGTTAAAAGGAAACATGACGCTCCATGTACTTCTCCTTGTCTGATAAAGGCAGCCTATCACTTTTTTCAGTAGAAACAAGCTATTTTCTGAGTAATAAATTCTAAAAGGATTTGTTGCACATTTCTTTATGTAGTGGCATTGAGTTACTTAATAGCCAATGTCTTCTTTAGTGGTTTTGCATAAATCAGAGAGAGATCAGTAAGACCCAGAGCTAAAAGGTTAACTTTCAGTCAATAAAATCTTTCTACATGAAGCCATGTTATTATATCCAATGATTTTTCTGGTATTCCAAATAGTTATAGAGACAGAGTCTGATGTCAGATTTTTAGAAAATCAGAGAACAAATGATTTATCAGTTATTCTCTGTTTTGATGTGAGTAGGATGACAACTTGAGATTTGGCTGTTTGGTTAAGTATCTAAAGAGGAGCCTATTCTGTGTCTTTGATTCATATAAAGTCTAAATCCATATGCTTCAGATATTTAGATATTCATTTACTCATTGCCTGTGATTGCTTTATGCTGTATACAGTGACAAAATAGTTGTGACAGAGACAGTCTGGCCTGAGAATCCTGATGTTTACTTTCTGGTCCTTTATAGAATTTGTCAACCCTGCATTAGAATGTTATGAAGAACTGTTACAAGAAAAATGAAGCAAGGCCTTCTTTCTCCTTGTGTTTCTTTTGCAAGTTCCTCATGCTCTGCCTATAATGTGTGTGAGGCTTGCTCCTTGCCTCAGTTCTCTTCATGCTGCTCTTACTGTATAGCTGCATAAGCAGTGAGGACCCCACGTAACTCAGTGTCCTTGAACAGGGTCTAGGGTTGTTATTTGTCAAATGAAAAGGCATGTGAAGGAGATAATGATAGCTTGAGAGATTGTGCTTTGGCAGAAAAGGAGAGATCAAGTGAGGAACGGATTATTGTTCCTCAGTTCTCAGAATATAGTTCTGGGTGTATGTGGATAGAGAAGGGAAGAGATAAGCATTGAGTGCCATCTGCTTGTATCCTGTTTGGTTAGTGATAATTTTCCAGTGAAGGGAACAGTGTGGGCAAGTGGGATTAGAGAAAGTATGGCCATCACAAGAAGCAGTCAGGCAAGAAACCTTAGCAGTGGAGTTATTTAAGCTGATATGCTTTGAAGTATAACTCCAAGTTCCCACCTGTGTTATAGTCAAAGCGACTTGTAGTCATGGTGTTCTTTGTCAGTGAGCTCCAGTTACACCTAACTTTTGGCTTTGGGTGTTCGGTTTTCTCTTGGATTCTAAACTCCTATACACCTTGATCTCTAAGGTCTGATTCATAGATGACTCACTTACTGGCCCCTACATCACTGCCTTGAGCTCTGAGTTTGCAGACCTTTAATTTCTGATTGAAAACTATGGGCTCCTTAAATTCCACTATGTCCTTTCTGTTCCCCAGGCCCTTGGCTTATACCTGACAAATGCTACTTAAGGGTCCCTAAGCTGTCAACTGAACCTCCAGGCTTTGGTGATTTGGATTCCCTTTTGAATCCAGATAAACCATATCCCTGGCACACTGATTAGACCCCAACATTCGTCCACTATTCTCTGAGTTGTAAACCCCTGTCTAATCTGACTCTGTCGTTATTTGTGTCCTACAGTGAACATAAATATTCATTAAAAATAATTCGACATGTTCCTGTTCCAGTCTTCATTTGAGCTGTATCCTAGCATGTTGATAAACCAGCCAGATAACTCTCCATTAAACTTTCACAACAGTAGTGTTTGAGTTCTCTGAGTTCTATGTTGATAATAATTTTTGGATACCAGTGCTCTTTTAATTTTTCTATTTTTTCAAGGGAATTGTAAAATTTTTAATTTTAATTTATCTTTTCTATTTTTCTACCTCTTTTTGATTTGTATTCTATACTTAATTTAAAGTTAGGCTTATGTGGTTTTACACTAAATCAGTATATCCAGAACTTCAAATATGGGGACTCTAAACTTTTCAATAAATAGGTCTAGTTTTTTAAAAAAATGTTAAATAGATTATAATATTGTAACATTTTTAGACTGTAATAAAAATGTTTATATTTTTCATATTCCTATTTAGTTTTATTGTTATACTAGTTTTGTTTTAGTAGCAAGCATTTTTTTTTATATCATTAATCTACAATTACATGAAGAACACTATGTTTACCAGGCTCCTCCCCTCACCAAGTCCCCCACACACACCCCAAGTAGCAAGCATTTTAAAGATCACACTTTGTGATCATTTATGGTACCTTAGTCTCTAGTTGGATTCCCAGTATTCTTTTGAAAGAGTTAGTGTTATTTGAAAAAACTATCTAGTTGTCATGGGATTTACAAAGATTCTGACTTTGGCCCTGACAAATCACAATGAGCTGTGTAACCAATTTAAGTAATTCATAAGGTGCATCATTGGGTTTCAGAATCCTAAGAAACAAATCAATATCACTTATTACAGCATATCTTTATCTTCTGCCTGCTTCTAGGGTTACAGGTGAAGTAAAACATAATCTCACCAACACTGTGGTATGCAGAGTGCAAGGGGAATGGAATAGTGTTCTTGAGTTCACTTATAGCAGTGGAGACACCAAGTGTGTGGACTTGACTAAGTTGGCAGTGACGAAGAAAAGAGTAAGACCTCTGGAGAAGCAAGGTCCGTTTGAATCCAGGTATGTCATCCTTGCATCCGTACAGAAAAGAGTCAGACTCTCTGGCCTTAATTGAAGCCTTTTCACTGACTGGCGACTTTGGGCATCACTCCCCAGTTTACAACATCTTTCTCTTCTGTAAATTGAAAGGGTTGGTCTTGTCTGATGCTCTTAAGCCCCTTAAAAGCAATGACATTATATGACACAGTCACATTTTAGTAAAAATCAAATATTTGGAAACTGGTCAAAAATGTTAACAATGTTGAACAATCAGAGGATCACTATCCTTATCATGAAAACTCTTACAGATTTAACAACAAGACAGGTACCCCAATACAAAAAATGGGCAAAGGACAGAAAGAGGTATTTCACAAAAATAGGAAAAAAAATGCCCACTAAGAAAATGGAAAATTATTCAATGTAATTAGAATTCAAAGACATACAAATTTAACAGTAAGCCAAAATAGTTTTCAAGATAATACCTCTTTGGAGAAAAAGTATGAGCAAAAAGGCTCATACTTTTTTTATACTGGTAGTTAGAAGGTAAACTGGTAAACCCTTCAAGAGGTTGTTTTGACAATATGTGTCACAGGCCTTTAAAGGTAAACGAAGTAGATCTTTATGTGTTACTGAGGCACAATCTCCAAAGTGTGTTTACAGTGGTTGCTTCTGAAGAGGAGTACTAGGGTCTGGAAGGAAAGAAACTTACTTTTCAGAAAATGCCCTTTTGTAGTGTTTAAATTTTAGATCATATGCAAGTATTGCTATATTCATTTAAAAAAGAAAAGAGGAAATAACAAAGAAGCACTGAACGTCCTAAGTTAAGATCATGTAAACAGAACCAAACCACTTATAATAATTAGATGTGTAAGGGATTAAATACTCATTAATTGAAGACTCAGATTGGGTCAAAAAATAAAACAGTAATGAATGAGAAAAAAAATTCTTCTAGGATTTATCCTAAAGGAGAGGTTCTCAAGGTTGGTCTGCAGACACCTAGGTCCACAGACATCTTTTCAGGGGGTATGCAAGTTCAAAAGTTTTTCATAAATGATGCTAAGATGTTATTTGTCTTTTTTACTCTGTTGGCATTTGCATTGGTGGGTAGTGCTGCTGGGCCTCAGCACTGATCAGGGCAGTGACAGACTGTACAAGTAGTCATTGTATTCTTAACTACCATATACTTGCATTAAAAAAAAAATGTCAGTTTCTTTTTTCTAAGTGTCCTTGAAAAAGCAGTTCAAATTATTTGTTTTATTAACTATGGACCACTGACTGCCCATCTTTTTAATATTCTGTGTGACAAATTGGGAATATGCATAAAGCACTCATGCCAGATTCTGAGGAAGTATAGTGGTTATCTGGAGGAGAAGCATTTGTGTAGTTGTTTGAATTATAAGCTGAATTAATTGCTCTTTTCATGAAACACCATTTTTTACTTAAAAGAATGATTGACAGACAAATAATGGCTGTTCTAATTTCAATACTGGGCAGATATTTTTCTTCTAAATGAATGATATGAACATGGCACTTCAAGGAAAACAATGACAGTATCTGTTGGTCATAATAAAATTTAAATGGAACAACCTAAGTGTCCATCAGGGATGAATGGGTAAAGAAATTGTGGTGTGTGTACACACACACACACA